GCGAGTGACTGGGGGGGTGGAGAGCCCCCCTCCCTCCTATCTCCGAGACTACTGCACGCTGGGCCGGCGGGCCGGAAAAGCGCTAGAAATACCCCCGAGAGTGACTTTCCACAATATGAACAAAATATGTATCATTCAATACCAAATTGATCAAAGCATACGATTCTGATGCCATTTTTGCCCTGAGGTCGAAATTGAGGTGGTCAGTTGTCACCAAACACAAGACTATTTAGACTCGCTAGTGGCCACCACATTTGCCGATTTTAATGCTAATCTTTAGTTGATATTTTTTAGTTGACCAGTTGTCGTTTTGAACGCAATTTTCTGTCAGACTAGTTCAGGGCACTGTTGTTCACTGCACCAACAACATTCTTACATAGGTTGCATCGCTTTGCTGCAAGATAAGCTAGCTTTTTGCAAGCAGCTGCAAGACCTAAATAAAAATCATATCTAAATTTTTAAATAGACTTTTATAAAAACGTTATTTCGAGCAGCTAAAAATGAACATCTTATACTAGCCTCTGATTACTCATCTTTCGTTCCATATAGGTGCTTTGCTGCTTTTCCCTGCTACTTTTCGAGATATGCGCCAGTAAACCAAATAATGTAGGGCCAATTGTCACCTCGCCGCGCTACTGACGGCCCGGCGCTCTTTAAAGCGCTGAAATGTATGAAAAACGGATGCTTATAATCTGAATAAAATATATCGCACACGCACATGCAATAGTTCGAGTTCAGCTTCGAATTAGAAAACTGCCTAATGCAATTAAAAGTACAATGACGTACATAACGAAACAGCTACATAAAAGTACACAGTTAAGCAGTGATACGTAGTGGATACGCCGAGGACATGTCGTTGATTTGCGGCCTCAGACGATGAATATACAACGATTCCAGAATTCTTAAATCAGGGAATGTACTGCTTCTACTCAAAATTTGAAAGTCGTCTATCCCTAGTGATGATTGACATGACAAGGCATGGTCTCTGATGGATGATGCTGAGGGAGATGACAGTAGTTGACCTGTACGATGTGACTTGCCTAAGTGCTGAGCTACTCTGGTGTACAGGCGTTGGTAAGTGGAGCCAACGTATGACGCCTGGCATGAGGCGCAACTATATTTGTAAACCACACCAGAGATGCTCGACTTGGGCAGTCTATCCTTGTAGCGAAACATAGATCCTATGGTTAATCTGTTACGTAATACTATTTTTGGGTTCAAATGTGGGTAAAACTTGCTGAGAACTTCTAGAACTTCTTTTTGCATTTTAATGGACTGTTCCCCAAAGTATGGGAGCACTAAGTATTTCTCGAGTTTGTTTGACAGTGACAGAGCTTTTTATTTCCTCAAAGCGCTTCTTCAGGAAGTCGCCGACAGTTCGTTCTACAAGTTGTTTTGGAAAACCATTGTTGCAGAAAAAGGACGTTAAAAACTTTACTTCACTGTCGAAGAGTAGGTAGTTTGAACTTATTTTGAAGGCACGGTAAATCGCTGAATTCACTATGGCTCTCTTCACAATCATGGGGATGAAGCTAAAGAAACTGGTCCCGAGGCCAGTGAAAGACATCAGTGTACAGAAAGCAGTCTTTCACTGGCCTCGGGACCAATTTCTTTAGCTTCATCCCCATGATTGTGAAGAGAGCCATAGTGAATTCAGCGATTTACCGTGCCTTCAAAATAAGTTCAAACTACCTACTCTTCGACAGTGAAGTAAAGTTTTTAACGTCCTTTTTCTGCAACAATGGTTTTCCAAAACAACTTGTAGAACGAACTGTCGGCGACTTCCTGAAGAAGCGCTTTGAGGAAATAAAAAGCTCTGTCACTGTCAACAAACTCGAGAAATACTTAGTGCTCCCATACTTTGGGGAACAGTCCATTAAAATGCAAAAAGAAGTTCTAGAAGTTCTCAGCAAGTTTTACCCATATTTGAACCCAAAAATAGTATTACGTAACAGATTAACCATAGGATCTATGTTTCGCTACAAGGATAGACTGCCCAAGTCGAGCATCTCTGGTGTGGTTTACAAATATAGTTGCGCCTCATGCCAGGCGTCATACGTTGGCTCCACTTACCAACGCCTGTACACCAGAGTAGCTCAGCACTTAGGCAAGTCACATCGTACAGGTCAACTACTGTCATCTCCCTCAGCATCATCCATCAGAGACCATGCCTTGTCATGTCAATCATCACTAGGGATAGACGACTTTCAAATTTTGAGTAGAAGCAGTACATTCCCTGATTTAAGAATTCTGGAATCGTTGTATATTCATCGTCTGAGGCCGCAAATCAACGACATGTCCTCGGCGTATCCACTACGTATCACTGCTTAACTGTGTACTTTTATGTAGCTGTTTCGTTATGTACGTCATTGTACTTTTAATTGCATTAGGCAGTTTTCTAATTCGAAGCTGAACTCGAACTATTGCATGTGCGTGTGCGATATATTTTATGATCAAAAGTGTAATGTGAATAAAATATATGTCCCTGAGCTCAGAATCGATCAACGCACACAATGCTGTCAAATTTTTTGGGCCAAAGTCTATAATTAAGTCATTATGAACCCCCAAACACAAGTCAGTGATAATCAACAACAACTTGTTCTTTAGTTAGACTTTTTGAGAAATGTTATTTCGAGACGCTATAGATGAGCATGTCATGCAAACAACTAGTCAATTGTCTGCCATGCGCTATTGACGATTATTGCCTATTACTGCTACTTTTCGAGATATCGTCTGCTAAGTCACCTGATAAGTCATCTGCTAAGTCACCCTACCGCGGTAGGGTGGCATAGCAGCTATATCAGGTGACTTAGCAGACGATATCTCAAAAAGTAGCAGTAATAGGCAATAATCGTCAATGGGGCATGGCAGGCAATTGACTAGTTGTTTGCATGACATGCCATCTTTAGCGGCTCGAAATAACATTTCTCAAAAAGTCTAACTAAAGAGCAAGTTGTTGTTGATTATCACTTACTTGTGTTTGGGGTTCATAATGACTTAATTATTGACTTTGGCCCAAAAATTTTGACAGCATTGTGTGCGTTGATCAATTCTGAGCTCAGGGACATATATTTTATTCAGATTATAAGCATTGGTTTTCATAAATTTCAGCGCTTTAAAGAGCGCCGGGCCGTCAGTAGAGCGGCGAGGGTGACAATTGCCCCTACATCATGTGGTTTACTGGCGCATATCTCGAAAAGTAGCAGGGAAAAGCAGCAAAGCACCTATATGGAACGAAAGATGAGTAATCCGAGGCTATAAGATGTTCATTTCTAGCCGCTCGAAATAACGTTTTTATAAAAGTCTATTTAAAATTTAGATACGATTTTTATTTAGGTCTTGCAGCTGCTTGCAAAAAGCTAGCTTATCTTGCAGAAAAGCGATGCAACCTATGTAAGAATGTTGTTGGTACAGTGAACAACAGTGCCCTGAACTAGTCTGACAGAAAATTGCGTTCAAAACGACAACTGGTCAACTAATAAATATCAACTAAAGATTAGCATTAAAATCGGTAAATGTGGTGGCCACTAGCGAGTCTAAATAGTCTTGTGTTTGGTGACAACTGACCACCTCAATTTCGACCTTAGGGCAAAAATGGCATCAGAATCGTATGCTTTGATCAATTTGGGATTGAATGATACATATTTTGTTCATATTGTGGAAAGTCACTCTCGGGGGTATTTCTAGCGCTTTTCCGGCCCGCCGGCCCAGCGTGTACTGGGCCGATCGTCAAAATTCAAACGGCGTCTGATAGCCCTGGAAAAACTGTCGAACGAAACCTATTTTCATTGACCTCGAGGTCACCGATGACGTCACAGGTCATGTCAAAGTAAAAATTATCGGCATTTTTGCTTGTTCACAATTAAGGCTCTGGACGCCGGCTGACAAGTTCGATCAGGCTCATTTTCGGTTAATCGTGTGTGAGACAATAAAGCGATTTGAATTTAAAAAAAGGCTCATTTTCGGTTTACGCACTCCTTGATATATGCCTTAGATACCCTGAGGGTACCGAACTGTTACTTCGAATTTTTCAGGTCAAGGTCAGGTCATCCTAGGTCACGAAAATTGTATATCATGTATCGGTCACGTGACGCATGTTTTAAGGTCCATTTTACTCGTAGATTTCGAAAATAGTGTCGTTTGTGTCATTTGAGGTCATTTCAGCTGAATTTACCGGAGGTCAGGTCACCTTCAGGTCAGAAAAGGTCAAATTTTGAAAATGAATTTTTTCAACATAAAGGGTACCTAGTACCTACCTATCAGATGCAGTTTGAGCTGAGGAACACGATGGTGCCATATTGCTGTACGATGTCAAAAACATACTGTTTTTTTTTTTTTGCAAAGCATATAATTGTACAATTTTGACCATAATGCTAAAAACTTGGCTATTTTTTAAGATATTGGGCTAAAACTTGCTAGAATAGGTAATCAATGTGTGTTTTATCACATCTATTCCTGTTTTTGCGAAAAATCAAAAACTGTTTAAAAAAATACATTTTTTTGTAATTGTAAAAACATATTTTTCAAAATTCTCAAAATTTCGCAAATTCGAGATTGCAGTTTCATAGCTACGTGTATTTGTAGTCCACTGATGCAAAGAAATTGGATCTAGCTTTAAAACTAAGCTCTTGAGAGCGTTTGCCGTAATTCAATACTTTGCATCAAAATCAGCCGACGTGACGTCACTCTGACGTCATTTCCGGCCAAACTATGGTAGCTAAACAGTTGAAATGTTAACACAAAGTGTCAAATGAATGCCGCTGAGTGGGGATTTAGAAAGTTTCGTGTTGATCCGTCAAACGTCAAACGATCCGCTCTGTAGAGCACCCCCAGTCATGCGCGGGTTAATTGTAACACACAGTCACGGAATAGATAAATAGGAGTAAATGTTCGGCAACAGATATAGGAACATCAACCTCTCAATTTACTATTCAGTATTCACAAATGCTCTATCAATGCTAATGGCTATCAATGAGAGGCGCTGACAGACAGACACTGACCGCTCTGGGGAAGCGCTTCTGCGGCGGCGACTTGATGAGCCAGCCCTCGTGGACCACCTCGCCGTCGTCCATGCCGTTGGCGAGCCTCAGTGGCGGCGGCCCCGTGTCCGGCGGCGACGCCTCCAGGTGCATCCCCGCCAGCTCTGGCGGGCACACGGCACCAAAGAGTGCTGTAAAATCAGCTGATGCAGGATATCTTTTAAATCACAGCATTCTCAGTAACCAGCAGCATGGATTTCGCCGTGGACACTGGACACTCTACGGAGTCCGCGCTGTTGGACGCCGTAGTTCTATCACCAATGCCTTTGTGGGCCTCATGATAAGGCTCATGCCTTCTTTGATTACCTCTTTGAAGAGGTGAAGGTCCTTTTCCATTCTCTCTGATATCTTTTCTTCCTGTTCTGGCATGTTACGTACGTTAACCTTCGCCCCAGTGGGGGGGGGGGGGCATATGTTACCACCCTGTCGCGTTTTTTGCGTGTGAATAAAAAACCGCGCCGCGCCGCTTGGAGTGAATTTTTGTACATCAATTTTTGACATTGTGTGAAATTTTTGACCCCAGGTCATGTCAGGTCAGGTCAACAGGTCAAGTTAACTGACCAAGCCCCCCAAAAAGTTTGCAATCATGTCCAGCCTGCCGTGTTTGTCAGAAAGGTTTTAACCCTCACCCGCACATGGGGGGTTGCCACCACCCCCCCCCCCGCCCCCCCAGGTAGTCTTTCTGCTCTGCACTCGACATTTTTAGAGCTAGAAGCCTGATGTTTCGTATGGCTGCTCCTCTATCCTTTTTTGATGTCCACTGAAAATTTCAAGTACCTGTGGTTTTTGGTTTCGGAGATATGACCTTGTTTTTCAGGTCATGTCATGACCCAAATTACCAATTCTGCGTTGGCTATAGGGCCTTGTGAGCTTTTGACACCTTGATTTCGGCCTTTTTTGCCAGTCTTACATCCCACCTATAATGGAACATGTTGTTCGACGATGTACAGATGTCAAGGTCAGGGTCAAGGTAAACCTAGGTCATCTAAAATAATTGCGTTTTAGGCAAGCTGAATTTACTTTTCGTGGAGTTTTTTGACTGCATTTTTGCGTAAAAGCTTCTCAGACCATGATTTCATGTAATATGGACACATAAACAATCGGTGCACACATCAGTATACACACAGACACACACAGACATACAAACATATATCATTGACCTTGACCTAACTTGACCTGAAATGACCTCAGCAGCAAAAACCTGGTCGGGTAGTGTGACAAAGAGGTTCTAGCTGGCTTGGCACCAGAAAACGGCATCGTTATCGGTATATGATAAGCAGCGCACTTGATATCCAATGGTGACCCAAAACAGCAACATTTTTTAGTTTGACCTGACCTGGAAGGTCAATGACTGACCTGAGAAGGTAAAACTGGGTATCATTTGATTCGTCTCTTCCCAAAGAATCTTTTTGGTTTTACTGCGAAGCTCTATCTCCAACAGGAACGAAATGGCGCGGGGGTGACAACCACCCCCCCCCCCCATGTGCGGTCTAGGATGGGAAAATGGCATGTGCGGGCGAGGGTTAAACTTGGTGGATTGCATGATGTTATGGGCGCCTATAATTTGTATATCTCGGATTTTTTATATCCGTGACCTAAGGTCAGGCCAGTGGCGTGACCTTACCATTATAAGTCAATGGAGAAAATGCCTATAGATCCGTGTGTACGCATAGGAACAGTCCAAATATTTCAGAATCACAATGATTTGGACGGCCAACGGCCAAGGTGTCTTTTTTGCTGATAGCCTCTAGAAAGGCCATCCGAGGTCATTTGAGGCTACAAACAGATTTTTGCCAATAACTCTCGATCGGAAAGAGATAGGACGCTGGGGATGGCCCCATTGTGTTTGTCTTGTTGAGACGCATCGAATGATATGCAACATGACCTTTTCCGGTCAGGTCATGACCTTGACCTGAGGTCAAATTTTCAAGTTGACCTTCCAAGGTCAAATTATAGGTAGTTCATTCGACGTGTCTCGGCGAGAGGAATACGATTCTGGCAATAGAAATGTCGTGGCTTTTTTTAAGTCAAAAGTTATTATCGAAAAACACCTCGTAAAAACAGCTATCTTTGGAGTTTTTGCCCTCTGGAGGCTAAACCGTTGACCTGAGGTCAACTTTGATGATGACCTTAACAAAAGAAGAGTTCAAAAGCTATCGATTGCTTTTTCAATTTTCATCCATTTTTCTAGCTATAGTTCCTGGGATAGGTAAATGCATGTTTTCTGAAAAAATATAATGACCTTTGGCAAATTTTGACCTTTGATGACCTCCAGTGACCCAAATATTGCTCTAAGATGAAAAATGATTGAAATACTTTCAAACGTACGCATTGAGAGCTATCGACTGCTTTTTACCTCGTCTTTCCAGCCCTCTTAGTTTTTTAGTTAGAGGTGGGTGGTAGCATAGGTATGCCCCCCCCCCCCAACTCACTGATCCAACACGGGATTTTACATCTTTTTGTTTTTTATCACTGTTTCCACCATTTTCACCTTTCTGAGACAAACTCGCCACATCTTTTGAAGTGTCTTTGCTGCTCTTAGGTGACTCTTGTTGTTCCCATTTCATTTTTTACTCCTCTTCTAATGTTCAGTTTTTTTCAGCACATTCTTAAATTGACATTTTGCCGTTCCACTTTTGATAATGCGAGATTCTTCGCTCAAAGGCACTCTGAGGCCTTCCTCCACACTATTTGATCCAAACGTGACCTTGGCCTTGACCGCTAACACAATCTGGCGCACAACCAGTAAGGTCGGATCAAGGAGCAACTGAGAGGAGGGACCGTTCGGGCAGAGGATCAGAGGGCAAATGTGAACGAAACCACTGTTTCCAATATTTTTGTCATCTCTTTCCCCAACAGCAACAATGCACCACAATCAAACCACTTTTAGAATGTAAGACATCTTTACATGTAAAAATGGTAGGTACCTATGGGCATTTATGAAATTAGGTGCCAGGGTGTTCACAAATTTTACAAGCCTCTGTTTGGTGATATATCTGATAAATCAGCAAACATGGAACAGTCATTTCAGACTGCTTTTGGTAGACGATGAACTAGTCTTGCTTACCGAAGCATCTCAGATCAAAGTGACAGCTGAACAGAGAATTAATTTTGTTGTTATGATGGATATTAATTTAAAGAAATCTCATAAAATGATAAAATCATGTTTTGGGGCTATAAAATCAGCCAAATGATAGTGGCGCCCACCAAACTTCATCAGCATTTTGCTTCCACAGCACCTGTTTCACCTGTAATTACGAGATAAGGAAGGAAACAATGGTGTCATAAATAAGGGCATGGGGCATTTGGCATTAATAGAGCAGACATCACATGAAGGTTTTCCAACCAAGGAGAGGCGCTGTAGGTTTTGGTTTGTAGGTTGTAGGGTAGGTTTGTAGGTTTGTAGGTTTGTAGGTTGTAGGTTGTAGGTTTTTAGGTTGTAGGTTTGTAGGTTGTAGGTTGTAGGTTAGGTTAGGTCAGGGCGGTGTTTCACGGGACGCTGCTACCACGCTGCTATCAAATTGCGCGAGCTGACGTCACACTTGTGGTAGTGTTGGAGCAATGGGCCTGTTGATGTTTCCATTGAAACCCAATTTGACACGTGTAAGAGCAGCATGCTGCTATCACCGGTGAAACAGGGCCCAGGTTAGGATAGGTTTGGTTAGGTTTTGTTAGAAAGAAGTACCTCCAGGCATAGCGCCTCTCCTTGGTTGGAAAACCTTCGTGTGAATTCTGCTCTACTAATACTGGGCATTTTACCTACCCTGGGCGTTTTACACGATTCACCCTTGAATGTTGATGCAGATAGCTACACATAGCTCTGCGCGAGTGCTGAATCAGGCCCGAATGATTGTTTGTGTGATATTTGGTTGTCTTGCCACTGCACTGTCTGAAATCATCAGTATTTAAGAGTATGGACCCAGAGTCTGAAATACAGCTTATCTATCTATCTATCTATCTATCTATCGGTATTTATTTACTTTAGGTCCGCAAAACAGAGTGGTAAATAAAAGTCATTCACTTACCTGGTTTACTTACCTGGTTGGGTTCCCTTCGCTTGGTAGTCTTAGGAAAAAGGGCTGGTAAGGAATGATAGGAACCCTGTCTCACAAGACACGCCAGTTCAAAACATGCTATACAGTTGTTCCAGTTTGGCAACGTAGGTCACAAGAATGAGAACTGGAAATGTGTGTCTGCAGTATGACAGGCAATAGATACATTTCATGTTAGCGATAATACATACAGAGAATACCAATATAACGAGTGATTTTACAAATATTCTACGAGTTTGTCTGGGATATGCTGCTCTAGACCCCTCTTGAAGGACTGGATGTCCGGAGCAGTAACAACAGATTCAGGGAGGCTGTTCCAGAGGTTAACATGATACTCTAAGACCTCCTGATTTCATTTCTGATACTTATTCCTTCTAGAAACCAATTTAAAAGCACCAGTACACTAGTATCACCAGTATCACCACCAACGGCCCCACCTCCGACCGGAACTGCACGTGTCAAAAGACCGTCTGCGCGGCGCACCCGCTACAAATGGTCCAGCCAAGGCTGAGCGAAATTACGGATGATAATAAATTGTAAGGAAAGTGACGTCAAAATAATCGTGGCGGAGCGGTGCAGTGCCGAAGGCAATGCCTTACCATTGCTTGCAATCTATTCATGCAAGTCACTTTTTCGTTTTCCCCCCAGTAGGCAAACATCAGTAGGTCAGGTTAGGTAAGGTTTGGTTATGTTCTGATCATTTTCTTATGCTCTATTACCTTTGCTAAATTTTTTCTCTTTTTATTCACCGTTTTTCCTGTACTTTGGTATTATGACGTCATTTTCATAACATCGAAAACTAATGAATATCTGCATCATTTTTTTCTTTTATAGGGCAGCGTTGTATGTTTCGTTTTTGTCGCGGAGGCGTGCTTTCTTCAGTGTGTATTGTGCAGCAGTGTGGTGTAATGTGCTGGGGTTTAAGTATCTTATTTTACATTTTTGATGCATTTAAGCATCATATCTGAATTCAGGACATCAAATAGTGTAAGAATGTGCATTTTTTCTTGTTAAAATAATATTGCGGACCTAAAGTAAATATTTATCTATCTATATGCTGGAAATATTGTGGCTCAAGTACAGACTGCACCAAGGACATCTATAGATGGACTGGCACAGAGATTTTGACAGTAAATGCAAAATTATACAGATTCATTCAAGACTCCATCTGGTTTAAAATATAGACACACGCATCCATCATCGCTTACCTATATCTTTACATCTATAGCTTGTTCCAGTTCTTGTTGAATTAGGGCGCGGGCGAACTTGAACTGGGCGCGGGTATATAGGGCCTCTTGGACGCGTAGCTGCCAGGGATTCACACAATCAATGCTGTTGTTGTTGTTGTTGAAGAGTTAGGGCGCCACAAGCAATGCAGTATATCAATAAACCCACACAATATACCTAAACAAGATCTTTGATGACAATATTTGCGCACATAGCACTCAAAGGATGCGCAAAGGATTCTCTGTTCGCCCCCGTTTATTTATCAGCAGGCTGCGAGCATGCTGCTACTTCTTGGCTCCTCATTGGTCGAATTCAAGTGGTCTATTCGTTAGACCCTTGGTTAGACCGCCTTGGTTAGACCCTGGACTGATTCCGATGAAACCCTCGGTAGGCAGACAACTGAACCAGTGACAACTGAACCAGGGACAACTGAACCGGTAAAACTGAACCAGGGACAACTGAACCAGTGACAACTGAGCCAGTGACAACTGAACCAGCGACAACTGAACCAGCGACAACTGAACCAGGGACAACTGAACCAATGCCAACTGAACCAGTGGACAACTGAACCAGTGGACAACTGAACCAGTAGACAACTGAACCAGTAGACAACTGAACCAGTGACAACTGAGCTAGTGACAACTGAACCAGTGACATCTGAACCAATGACAACTGAACCAGTGACAACTGAACCAGTATGACAACTGAACCAGTGACAACTGAACCAGTGACAACTGAACCAGTGACAACTGAACCAGTATGGCAACTGAACCAGTGGACGACTGAACCAGTGGACAACTGAACCAGCGGACAACTGAACCAGCGGACAATTGAAACAGTGGACAACTAATGTCGTACTGCGCTGTACAGGTATAAGGTAGCGCGTGGCTGGACGGACGGTCTGTGCCAATCTGCCGGTCTGCCAATTGATCTGTGTCCGATCTATTAGAGTGTCCGTCCGAGAGCATTAGTTAGTTGAGCCGAGAGCACCGTCCGACATAAGTTGAGCCGAGAGCCGTACGACGTCGACGGCTGACAGGCTGACAGAGCCTGGTGGTCGCGAACTGGTGTGGTAACCGTTCCGCCCACCTGGGACGCCCGAATAGTTAGCAACGTATAAATAATATTCACTTTGATGGCCTAACTCCACCGTTCCGTGCTTCTATCCTCAGGATACTGAAATCCTTCTCCTCCACGCCGCAACCCCCTCCGGGCTGGACAGGCAACTTTATCTCATGCGGGCTGCTCCCTTGGAGCGGCACCGCTGCTCCCGAGGGAGCGCACCCCGTAGCCGGGTGCAGTGAGTGCCTTGGGGCTGGGTGGCCTGTCCTCAGGACGGGCTCAGCCCCGGCGACTCACTAGGGTGCCTGCCCAGACCAATGTCTCCCCCTAATTCCTATCATCCTTCCGGCTCTGCAATGGTCTTATCGACCGAAAGGGCCTAACCCAACAAAACAAAAAATGGCCTAACTCGGGACAGACAGGGCACGCAACGTGGGCTTGGCAGAGTTCAGCCCGCCTGGGCCCAGAGGAATCCCCGGTATGTAAATGGATTCACTGCTCAGGCTTACATCGGGCTTACGCCAAACGTCGCACAACTAGGGCTAAACAACGGCTGTCCTGAGCTCGCCGAGAGGCCCAGAGGTCATACCTCCGGCAGAGCATGGGCTTTAGACGGTGTTTTTGTGTCATACGCCGACTTTAGTCTTTAGCCCAAGCGCTAGCCGACTTTAGTCCAAGCGCTAGCCGACTTTAGCCCGACTAAAAATCTCGGGCAAGCCGCACTTCAGCCTGCTTGGGCCCGGAGTAAAATTGCTTGCTGGGCTACTGGTTAGTGGTTCAGTTGTCACTGGTTCAGTCAGTTGTCACTGGTTCAGTTGTCACTGGTTCAGTTGTCCACTGGTTCAGTTGTCCCTACTGGTTCAGTTGTCACTGGTTCACACCATTAGACGCGCCGTAGTCTGAAATGTTGCCAATTAGGTAATTTTTTGATTGGTCTACCCTAAGTGGTCCAACTCGGTCCAAACCCCCTAAAATCTGTTGCAGACGCAGGGGCGTAGCTTTGTATGCCTACTTTTGGGGGGAAGTGCCCCCCAACTGGAAATTCTGCCACCCCAACATCCCGTTTGCCCCCTCAACTTTGGTGGGCGCCCCTTTGTGTCTTTAGCCCAAGTGCAAGCTAGAAAGGCGCCCTCACGGGCCAGCAGCGTCATAGGAGCGTCATCTTTCAAGGGGGCGCCATCGCCTATAAAAATGGGATGCGTGAGAGGGGAACCTCTGCAGGCCGTGGGTGTGTAGCGTGTGCAACAGCGCTCCGTTGCTAGCGGCGGCACCGTAGCGTGTGCAACCCAGCGGCGGCGTCGTAAACTAGTAAATCCTTTTGATGCACGCAGATGTCAGTGATTGATTGACACATATGTCTTGTGATCGTTTGCTGCCTTATATGTTATCTCTTGTAACTGTAGCTGTTGTATTGTCACGTATCAGCGGTGTCGAACAGTGCTAGCTTCGGCAATGCGTGGTGATTTTCGTTCGTCCCTCATCTAGTGGGCTTGCGAATAATATTCAAGTTTGTTTTTACTCTTCAAGGCCACCGAAGGCCTATGCCATGGCCCGCGTTTCGTTCGACCAAAATTCTACCGGTTTTAGAAGAGCTCCACCAGCCAATCACACGGCTCGGTCGTCATCTACCGCCTCACGCGCCGCACGTTTCACCGTCGTCGACTCCGACGGTCGTCGGACACTCGGACCAGGGGCGAAACCCTCATGGACAGACCCATTAATTTCCCGCCCAGCGGCGGAGTAAGGCGGCACTGCAGGGGGAGACGGGCCGGCCGCCACGTCCAGGCGCGCCGCAGACGTGCCATAGAGTACGAGCGGCGCCCGAGCCGCGGCCGTGTCCTGATCCCCCTAACAGGCAGCCCCGGACCCGCCCATGCAGGACGAGACCGGACGGCTGAACCCCGGGATGGGCCGGGCCTGCCAGCGGACAGCAGCCGGCAGGAAGGCGTTGGGGCCAGTGGGTCCCGCCGTGTAGAGCGCCACCCTTCACGTGGTGAAACCAACCGATGTCTGCCCCGGCACACTCTGAGCATCGGTCATTCATACATCAGTGGAAAGCCAGCTGACAACACGTACGACCGGGCTTACCTTCTAGCGGTGCGTGAGAGGGTGAGGGGTGGTGCGAATAGCAAAATCGCCCAGACCATCCGAAGCAGTCTCCCAGCGCGCCTGACACATTTGGTCCGCCGCTCACATCAGCCAATCCGTGCCATTTGTGGATCTAACCGGCGGCCCCGTCCCATCGCCATTAGAGATGCAGGATACCAACAGCGAACGATCACGGTCCCAGCCCGACTCAGCATCGCGGAGACTCGCAGGGTACTGGGATCAGGGAAACAGCTAGCACCTGCCATCTTCCTGACCAACCCCACGTCACTCAACAATAAATTGGACGAGCTATACGCGAACATACTGGAGTATGCCCCTGACGTTGTCTGCATCTCGGAAGTCTGGCAGGTCGATCAGGACAAGGCAAATTTCCCCGGCTTCAGCTTCTTTCAGCGACCCAGACTGCATCGTCGGGGATGTGGCGTCGGCTGCTACGTCAGACAGTCTATTCCAGTGAAGCTACTGAATAGCCTCCAACCCTCTGAGGAAGACGTTGAAGTGATATGGCTTCAATTACGGCCTAAGCACCTTCCGGCAGGTTCATCTAATATCTGCATCGCCACAGTCTACTTCCCACCAGGCTCGTGTGCAGAGCTGCGAGTGAAATACGAGGAGCACCTTCAGTTCGCCATTGATGAGCTCCGTACCCTGTATGATTGCCCTCGATTTATCATCTGCGGTGATTTCAACAGCTTTCCAGTTGAGTCCCTCTGCCGGCTCAATGGTTTGCATCAAATTGTAACAGCCCCCACGCACGGGGACTCAGTTCTGGACCTCATCCTGACCGATCTGGGTGACTATTATCACGAGCCTGTGATGCTGTCGCCCCTCGGGCGCTCCAAGCACGTCATCGTGCACGCTCGACCGCGCACCATCCAGCCGACACCGAGGGAACGAACGACCGTGCGAATGCTGCCGGACTCGGGAGTTAGAGCATTCGGCAGGTGGATCACAGCACATGACTGGACCCCCGTATATGAGGCGTCTTCCCCCGATGAACAGGTGGCGGTGCTGCAGTCAACGCTCTCCACTGCTCTAGACCGGTTTCTGCCTACCAAGACATTGCCAGTGCGACATCGAGGGAAGCCTCACATCACCGCCACCGTCCGACACGCCATTGCCCAGAAGCACAGAGTTTTCCGACTCGAGGGCATGTCCGACCGGTGGCGACATCTACGAAATAAGGCCACTCATCTGTGCCGCAAAGCCAAGGCGGAATTCTACGACAGGAAAATACGAGGAATGAGGACAGCAAAGCCGGCTACTTGGTACCGTCAAATCAAGAGTCTGACCGGCCGAGTAAAGAACGAACAGCTAAACTTCGCTGAGTATGAGACTGGTGGGGCGCTGGCGGAAGCGGTCAACCAGCACTTCGCATCTATCTCATCCCAGCTGCCGGCACTCAACCTGGAGGAATTCCCTGCCTACCTACCGGCGGACGCACCCCCACCGGTCATCCGACGAGCTGACGTCCAGAGGGAACTGAGCAGCATCCGCTCCAACATCTCCACCACACCGAATGAGCTACCAGCACGGCTGGTCAAGGAGTTTGCCTTCGAATTATAGCAGCCACTCACTCACATCTTCAACTCCTCGCTATCCTCCGGAAAATTTCCGTCTGCTTGGAAGCTATCCTTCATCACCCCCATTCCCAAGGTCAACCCTCCAACCTCTTTCAACGATCTTAGACCCATTTCACTCACCCCGCTCTTCTCCAAAATCTTTGAAGGATTTTTGACAACCTGGATCATGGCTGACATTACCCCATCACTTGACCCACACCAGTTCGGAAACAGGCCAGGCTACTCTACAGTACATTACCTGATCTCGCTATATGACTTCCTGGCTAAGAACACAGACAGCTCTTCAAACGCTGCGGCCATCCTGGCGATCGATTTTTCCAAGGCCTTCGACCTGGTTAGCCATGATGTCGTGCTCAGGAAACTACTGGACCAGCAAGTTCGTCCCTCCATCGTGCCTACAGTAGCCAGCTTCCTCAACGAGCGGAAACAGGTCGTTCGACTTGGTGGCTCGAATCCTGTCTCATCAGAGCTCACTA